TTTGCTTGCTCCTCCTGGCTGTTGCACCAGGACTGGTGTGGTACCAGAAATTCTTTCTGGGCATCACATGGTTTTGAAGGCAATTTCTAACCATGTGTTTCTTTCACTGAACAGAACAAGAGGTGTCACTCTCATGGAAGAGCTCCCTGTCAAAGAGCCAAAAGAAAGAAGCTCTTCCAGAGTTCATTTTGCCATGGTGGAGTAGGTCTTGAGGCAGAGAAAGATCCTTTTTAATGCATAAAGAAGCAGGAAGTTCATGCATTTGAAACTAAAAGCCTACTTTAACACCATATGCAATGAACTCTGCAAGGTGTTAAGTCCATTTAATTCCTATTGAAGTCATGGTAAATCCCATGAAACGCAAAAGCTGGGCATAGCAGCACAATCTCAGCTTTGCAGGAGCAGAGCTTGCAACCAAAATAATTGCCTGCAGCCCATAGAGGCTGTTTTTGGAATAACTGTTAGCAGTGACACTTTCAAAATGGCCCCAATCCAGCTTTCCCGATTTTGCTCACAAGACTTCTGCCTGCAGTTCGTAGCACTTGGAACCTTGCTGGGCCATGCTGAGGAAGGATAACTTTTCCTGAAAGCACAGCCTGTGAGTTTGAGTATTGTCACAAGGAGCTGCTGTAAGAGGGTTGAGAGATTAGTGCTCATCTTGAGCTTAGAGTTCCTCTAAGAAACCTTCTCTAAGGCAAACCTTGTCTCTGCTGAGCTCATCCCTTCTTTAGGGGCTGAGTAATCACCTTGTGCTTCTATCAAATGGGTAGCACATTACTGTGTAATGCACTTGTAGCCAGAGTAACTCAGTGTGTTAGAAGCCATGGCTTCAAATGGCAAATATGCTGATCAGGACTTAAGGTCTACAGTCAATTCATCTATTGCTAAGGGCAGGATAGAAAGACTAAATAAGAGCCTTGGCTGGTTTGGTGTCACGATAGCAGTTGTGACACCTCTGGTGCATGCTGGCATGATGACAAGTGCACATCACGCTGCAGGGCTTTGGTTTCGCTGTGCAGGAAGGGCAGCTTGCACTGACCTGGCACTGTGCTGTCCTTAGCACATTGGTGTCATGCCCACAGAGTGTTCAGCAGCAGCCTGGATCTTGTCAGGAGGCTGCTTCCACTCCTGCAGAATCTTCCCGCCCCCAGTGAATGAATGTGTTTCTCTGGGCTCCCATTTGGGGTTTTGTTTGGCAGGAGTGACAGGGCTGTTCCTCGTAACCTTCTCAGGGCTTGTATTTGGATTTCTGCACATGTGCACAGCTGCTTGTGCTCTAAAGATGTGTTCCTGGAAATATTTGTGCAGATTTTATGCTTAGGGCTGGGGAGCAATGTACTGCTTGGAGTGGTTTCTTTTGCTTTTGACAAAATCTCATCTCTCCCCTTCCTTCTGTTATGCTGTGCACATATTCTGCAGCCATGCTGTCTATCACTTATATTTCTTTGACTGGCACAGTTGTACACCTTGACTTCCTATTATAGGCTTAGCATAGATGGAAGTAGCAGAGAAACCAAGAAACTACTCCTCTTTCTATGGTAGCACTATTCCCCGTTAGTTTTCTCTCTCTTGTGATCTTCTGGCCACAATACCCCAGTGGTACCACAGTACAACAGTGTTTGAAGCTGGCAAGTTCGCAAGTCCTCAGCCCATATTTGCCCAATCCTGACACCCCCTCATGGTAAGGTTTGGGTAGCACTCAGGTGTGGGAAGCGAAATAGCAGATATTCCTGGCTAACAAATGGCAAAAGGGATGTGCCTCAGTGAGGAACTTGAATAATAATTTTGCTGCTATTTGAGGGCCATAAACTGATTTGGGAAGACACAAGCTGAAGTGATGTTTAAATTCAGTTAAAGCTTTGCGTTACACCTTTAGGTCAGGGAAGAAGGAAGGAAAAGCTCCTCTTCCCTGCAGCTCTACTGCTGTGACTGCAGAAATGATGCTGGAAGAGTTGCCCTTCTGAACTGCACTTCTGAAGTGTCACTCTCAGCAAATTGCTGTCTGGATTTAGAATTCAGTGAGGTATTTGCAGGGATTTGGTTTAACTGAAACCAAGTGAGAAAGGGCAGATTACATTTTCCACCTGTGACTCTCAGTGTAATTTGAAAGGTTAGTATGTGTGTATATATATGTGTGTATATATATACATGCACAACTACCTAATGCCACATTTGTGGAAACAAAGGCTGGGAGAAGAGTATTGCCTAAATGCCACTGTTGCCTTCAGTGTATGCTCTTGTAAATACACTAGACAGATACGGTGTGCAGGGAAGAATTTCAAATGATTCAGCTGGAACTAAGAGTAATAGTGCTCTATTGAGCAGACCAATAATCTCTACAGTTTACTTAAAAGCATGGAACTTATTAATGGAAAATATGCTCTAACACCTCCCATGTTTATAGAACACAGCACAAATATATACTTGCTTTCACTGTGGTGTCTTCAAACTCAAAGTGTTACATAAACACAGATGAAAGTCAAGCCTTGCAACACTTCAGTGGCAGATATTGCTACTTCTGCTTCCAGGTAGAGAAGCAGAGGTGCAGGATTGGTCGGTAACTTCCACCCGGAGGCCTGGGCAGGGGTGAGGAGTATTCCAATCACTTATTCCTAGTCCTGTATTTAAACATAGAAGTCCCTTTTCTCAAAGGCTAATGCTACAGTTCTGTTGAGCACACTTGTAAAGGCTCTGCCACCCAGGGATTATGGGCTTGGGAGGGCTCAGGTTCTTAGGAGAGCTAATTCCCTGTGTGCATTTCAAACTCCACTGGCTGCACTTCACACAGTTGTGAAACTGGAGAGGAGCATGGGCCCCCTCTGCACTGGGTGTTGCTTGGCTGAAACAGATGAATAAACCACAACTTATCACTTATTAATCAGAAAGACTTAAAGTATTCACTGCTTCTGGAAACCAATATCTCCAATGGGAATTCATTATAATGTATGGTACTCCGTAGGGTATCTTTATGCTTCTATTGAGTCAGAGTCAAGAAATGTAAGAAATTAAGGACCTTCAGCGGTGGGCACTACAGGATCAGTTTATGGAGGGGTATTGCTGACAGCATACATGCCTCAAATATAGATCTTTATTGCTTGTTCAAGGTAACAGAGCCTCCTGGTGGGATTAGTGCATCTGGGGGATGCTAGTTGATAAAATGCTCAACTGGCAGTGTTCATCAGGAGCCTTGCTAGATATCTTCTCCCTTCTGTATTTCTGTTCCATCTTCAGAAGGGAAAACAGAATGTCTGCTTCCTGTTGATAAATGATTTTGGTCACTGGAGATGGAGAAAAGCTGCAGTTGATGTAAGCACCATGAGTACACATCCCTTTCTGGTGAACTGGGTACAAAGTTGGGGTTAAAATGTTAGCATCCTGCATCTTTCTGTGGCTGCTCACTTAGCATTAATAAGGACACAAATACTACACAGACTGCTCTTTTAAACCTATTAAAGTCTTCTGTTTTTATGTACCAGTTAGTGGTCTGTCAAGGGATTGTCTCAGTGCCTCCATCAAAAATGCAACTTAATCAGCAGAAGGATGCATACATAAACACTGAACTGGCTGCGCTACATTCCTGGACCATAAAATGCTGTGGAAATCAGTGGGTTGTTTGAAAATCCATATTTACACTTTTGCCAATTAGATGTGAAATCCTGCCCTGGAGATCCTGTAATGGAAATCCAGACTCAGGTATTGGGTAGGTGTTGGGTAGGCTCTTCAGGTGTTGGGTAGGCTCTTCAGAGATGGCCAGTTTGCAGTAGGGAACACATAAGGAAATGCAGCCAGTCTACTTACTTGAAGAAGCATTTTTGCTTCTTCAAAACAGTGCAATCTATATTTTGAGTTGAAAGCCAACGTAATATTTAAAGAACTTCAGTCTGCAAAATCAGCTCAGTACAACACCCAAAGAAATGCCATAAAATCCTACAGGTACCTATGTTATGCCTTCAGTTCCTATTAAAATTTTATCTAATGGTGAGACAAAAGCTTTTTCCTCTAGCAATGACTGAGGTTTTTTCCAGTTGCATCCTCAAGTGCTCAACAGCCTGAGTCATTTCAGACTAGACAGCTACATTCCCTTAGGGATACTGTTTTACAGTCTCATTCTAGTCATAACTCTATTCTAGCATCCATCAGATTTGCAGACCCAAAAGAAGATCCTATAAATCCTTTAAGGTGCTCTTAAAACCTTAGATAGGACTCTGTAAATCACAGACAAAGCTTGAAACTAATTTTGGATGGGGTAGGGAAGGGTTGGTTTTTTTTTTGACGAATTGCTAGCAAGACTGTGTAACCCTTCTTTACCATGTCTAAATTGGGATTTAATGTATTTTTGGTTGCTACCAGCCATGTAAAAGCAATGGGTGGTATTTGATGTAGTGTTTTAGGTCAGTTGCCACTAAGTCTGTCCTCTAATAGACCACTGACACTATAACGAAGCATATTTGTTATGCCTGCAAGATTTATCAGAGCTGCTTTTGGTAGAGACTATTCAATACCAGGGTTTCATTATTTTTCAGGCATGAGACAAAAGGTACTTTGTGGGTGAACATCGATATCCTCTTGGCAGGGGATACAGGCTGAGGATGTAGTTAGGTCCTGAAAGATGGAGAGGAAGCTGGTAAACTTACAAAATAACTTAGGTGATTAAATGAATTTGGTGTTTAGGAGCTTTTAGCAGCTTAGTTGCATGTTCAGGTGTCTGAATACCTCTAGAACTCTCAACGTTTTCTAACCCCTGGTTCATGTGGCTGAGTGGTTTGTATTTGATGTAAGCTATGGCTGACTTGCTTATTGTGGGGAAATCTAGTCATATTTTAAATAAGCATAAATATAAAACAAACAAAAAAGTTTTCCTAACAAGCTGTCATGGAAGTGCTAATGGAAAAATTATTAATGATTTGTACAATTAATGGAGGAAATGGGTAGAGGTCTGATTGTCAGCTCTCTTATGTTAAGAAGTGTAGAATTAGACTGGTGTTCATTTCTTTCCAAAGGGGAGAGTTACGTTTGCTCATCTGACAACTTCTTCAAGAAGGTGGAATACACCAAGAACGTCAATCCTAACTGGTCTGTCAACGTGAAGACATCTGCCAACCAGAAAGCACCTCAGTCTCTGGCCAGCAGCAACAGCGCCCAGGCCAAGGAGAACAAAGATTTTGTGCGTCCCAAGCTGGTAACCATCATCCGCAGCGGGGTGAAGCCCCGGAAGGCAGTGCGTGTGCTCTTGAACAAGAAGACTGCCCATTCCTTTGAGCAAGTTCTCACTGATATCACTGAAGCTATAAAACTGGAGACAGGAGTGGTCAAAAAGCTGTATACCTTGGATGGGAAACAGGTACGAGTTTTTACAGATGTTATATGTCTTTTCCTTTCTTTTATCTTGAGGCTTTGCTGACTCAGACTGATTTTTGAAGCCTAAAATTAACCTGAGATGATTACTGCCATCTGTTCTCTTAGAAGTCAGACTTCTCATGCCAGTGGTTAAGTTACTAAATTTTCACTGATATTAATATCAAGTAAAGAATGTAGCCAACATCGTGAGGGAAACAGATGCTCCGTCCTGCACGCCAGCGCGCAGTGCGTGTTGTCTGTACTAGCTAAATACTAACATGGGGAGTTCAGCTCACAGCCACCAGCTGATTTGGCTCTGGAGTCATTGCAAGAACTCTCAAGCTTTGGATTCACTCAGTGAAAATGTGTTGCTTGATTTTCCTTGCCCTCAGATGAAGGCTTGCTAAGATAAAGTAATTGACCCAAGCATGCACTTCTGGTGGGCTCAGTAATTAGCAGGAAACCCATGGAACTCTGTTGTGTTTTCTTGACTAACTATGAAGAAATAACATGCAGAAAGGGATTTGGGTCAGAAATGTTTAGTGGGTCATCACAATATGCTTCATGTCTACATTTTCTTGGAACTGAACGAAACATCTGTCTTTTGTTAGCAGCTACATAGCAATGAGCCATTTTATATTGCTGTATCTATGAAAACCCTTAAAGGAATGTGGAGGATAACTCTGGGGACTGGAGAGAAACAGATTCTTCAAGGACAGTTCTAAGCTTGATTTAAAAGTTCTGTGTCTTCTGTAACTGAGGGATGATCCTACTTTTGTCACTATTTCTCTTGGTCCAGATTCTAGGGCGAGGCAGCACAGCTCTTGTAGGTAGGGGTGGACACTGGCTATTTTAGGGATTGATGCTATTGGTTTAAATTGATTATTTTTCCTATCTCTGGCGAAAATGATTCAAATTCTCTCTTGAAATACCATGCCAACCCCATGCAATGCATCCAACTAACGTACAGACTTTACATATGAAAATGTTCATTGTTGCAACCTTAAATATAGTAAAGTGTCCTGTGCAATCCATGTGCAGTGTCTGGGAGCTGAGAGTGGCATGGCACTCTAACCTGTCTGATAGTCTTGGGTTTTCCCAGTCTCTGGATCTGCATGTTAGTTAAAGGCTGCTTCTAGCTCCAGATACACAAAACTCACATCTGCCTGTCAAAGCTTTTCTTTCCACTTGTCTCAACCCAGCATTTTTTTTTTTTATATGGTGTATAATTTATACATAAGTGGGTGACTTTCCAGCTAGACTGTCTGTAGATACAGTAGCATGCTGTAAATAAGCAGTGATGCACGGAGTGATGTACTGGAAACCTTGAAAGTGGCTGGAGGAAGAGGAAGGAAAGAGTCACGATCTGTCCTCACTGAGGAAATTATACATGGGCCCAAGTCCACGTGTTTTGGGTCACAGCAGCTTTACGTAGTGTTTATTAGATGAATCTGGCCTGAAAGCAGCATGAGCCTACTCATGCTGACACAGGGTCCTGTTCCTCTCACAGCTGTGAATGAGGACCTTAATCTGAACTTTCAAATTGCCTCAATTCTTTAAGAACAGCCAGCATTTTGGAGGTGAGATGTTGCTTTGAGTGATGTGCAGAAATAGGGATGTCTCATGTACTGCCATCAAACTGTTCACTTTAAAAAGGGGCACAGAGATCTGTGTAATTCAGCAGTTCCTACTCCAAGCTGTTGTCCATTGCAGACACCACACCATACATGACTCCTCTTGAATCAAAGCAAAAAGGCAGTGTTGTTTGCCTCATGTCAGGTGTCAGCCTCTGATCACTGTACAGCGACGGGTGCACTGTTTTGGCTGAGGCAACCTGACAACTTCATCATCAGTTTTTGTTGCAGAAATGTTATGTCAGTAAAGACCGAGCAAAGATACCCCATTCAACTTGTTTCACTGCCTGTATAATTCACTGTTTTATGAAATGTGATATTTCATTGTGTGTTGAGCCACCATGGGGAGTTTCCTTGTGTGCAAATGCACACACAGCATTGCAGCTATTGAAAAGAGTGAGATTTTGTGATCTGACAATTTGATAATATCCATTGGGCAACTGATATTTGTTTGCAGCTTACCTGGCTCACTTAGGCTTTCCTTTTATTAGATTGCAGGAAACCTTCCTTGGTTTTTTTAATCCAAGTGTGTTCTTGGTGTTGAAGCTAGAGCTTGAAGCTTCTCCTGTGGGCGCAGTGTTTGCTGTTAGGGTTTCCATGACATTCTGCTCCATGAAATTTGACCTTCTGACATGACACTGGAGGTTTTTCCATGTCTGATTCTGACATTAGAAAGAGATTCTTGAATGCCTAATTCTGACAAACAGTGCTTTATTTTCAGCAGAAAATATTCATGCAAAAGCACAAGCTGCTCAAAGCTGAAGTCCTGACAAGAATCCTGACAGTCTGTCTCTTTGAGTGTCATCAGAGGCACGTTCCTTCCTCTGTTGTGAAGTGGTAACATTTACAAAAGGAACCTACAAAGGAAAATCATCCTTTCTCAGTCCATGAGCTGGGATTTAATGAGGGGAGATGATTATTTTGAGGCAGTTCCATGGTGCCCATCAGTAATCAAGATGCTTTAGAAGTACAGACAATAGTGGCAATGATGGAGTGGTGTGTAAATAATTACATTCCTGTGCACTGCAGACCTGCTGCACTGGGAGTGAGAAAGCAGTTAACTGAGAGCTGGGTGGGGTGTGTTTGAATAAATGTAACAACCAAAACAACAGTGAGGTTGGGCTTTTGAAAGGAAATTCTGTTTCTTCCTATGACTTAGGCTGTCTACACGAATATGGCCCTTTTGAAACTGCTAAATTAGTATCTTATGTTTAAATAGTTTATTTAACTTGCTCTTGCACATCTTTCTAATGCCTTGTGCCTTATCTGTCTGTACTCAAGCTCCTTCCTTCCTTGTCCTTGATGGACATCACTGAACTCAAAAGGGGTTTCAAACTGTTGACCAAATATGAGTCATGACACAGAAACACAATGAAGATTTAACTTTTGAGCTTTTATGGCGGCATAGGAAATGGGACAGGTCAGCGAATCCAGTGCATTAAGCAAGTATTACAATGGATCAAATTCAGCACTTGATTTCATGACTACAACTGCTGTCGTGTTGAAAAGCATAATATATATTAATATACACATATGCAGCATTGAATTTGGTCTGATCTCTGGATCAGACCTTGGAAACCAGTTGTCTTGAGAGATTCCTTCTCTTTCTTTAAACACTTGGTTATCTCTAGTGTCCCCAATAAGTCTGGATTCCTGGGAGCACTGGCTGCTCTATAAACACATGATGACTCTTTCTGCTTCATGTGTTTAATACACCAAATTAGAAAACAGAATGTGAGACTGAGGATGCAGTTGCATTCAGATATTTTGAATGCAATAGTCTGAGCTAGACTTTGTATAGATTTACTGTCCTCTTTGTCCTTGAGCTTCTTTCTCACTATGGTGTACAATAAATAGGTGTTTTGCTAGATAAAAGGAAGCTATTTAATCACTGACAGCCCAGTGCCCATCTTCTGCTTCCTGCACCTTGCTTTGCAAGTGGTCTCTGTCTGCATTCCTTCCTGCTTTTAAGAGGTGACCAGTAAAAGCTAATGCCTTCTGTACATGCTGAACTTCTCTTTTCCTGCGCTGGCTTGTATCCAAAGTCTGTAAGCTGCTCAGTGTGTATGAAGAGAGGTACTGACAAAAATCAGTTCCTTTTTTTGTGATTGGCCAAGCAGGTGATACTCTGAGGTGACCAGGATCTTATCAGGCATCTTTAGTTGTGCTTTAGCATTAAGATACTTTTTTGGTATGGAATTCCTTCTGCTTTTTCTTAAGCTGATGTATTGCCATCTCTGAACTAAACCCCTTCTTCTGTGACACAGCAATTAACATCACCAAATAAGCAGAATAAGGTGCTATTCAGAGAGGGAGAGCTTGTACGCTTCATTTCCACATATAAATAGATATTCTGGTCAGCAAGCAGGGAACTGAATGTGGTTTTAGCCATAATAACATGCCATGATCTCCTCTCCCTGTGCTTGAAGACTTCAAAGCCCAAAAGAGAGACATTCATTGGCTTTTACCTAGCCCAAAGTGCTTCTGTAACTGAGCGTTAGCTGTCTCATCACATGAAATGACATACATTTTCATATGTCAGGGTCTTTGTGATTGTGCTCCCAAAAGAATTTCTAGTCTTAATAACATGGTCCCCTCTAGCAGTGCTTGCTTTGAGGAGGATTTTGTGTGGCAGGTGATGAGTGAAGTTCATCTTTCTGTTTGCAAGGCTGATGCAAATGCCTGTAAGGCCAGCCTTCCCCTCCTGACCAGAGAAGAAGTTGCCAGTTCATTTTAGATGACTTGCATCTAGGAATGGCAGCAGCCGCAGAGGGAGAAGCAGATGACGAAGCTCAAAACAGGTTAAAGGTCCATTGATTAGATTAGTGAAATTGTATCAGTGTGACATAGAACAAGGCTTCTGTCAAAATATACAATTGCCTCCAATGGCTGTAGCCTGTAATTGATGTTCAAGAAGAAGGTGAATACCTCTGTGATGTACCTAGTAACATCTGCATTCCTGAAAGATGAGAGGGAAAATATTCCCTCTAGAGCCCTGGAGATGCTTAACTTACACCCTGAGGCATGAGGTTCAAGGTTACAAAGCAAGCAAATTGCTTTGTGTTCTTACACATGTCGAGGGGTAAGATGTCAGAAACTCTTCATCCTTCTGAGCCTAGATAATTCTGAGATACAGAAAAACTGCATTCAGGTAACCCCAAAACAAAGCAGTTTCATGCACTTGTGTAAAGCTGAGATCTAGCCCAAGAACAAAAGAGAGAGAAGAGCAGGAGATGTGTGCAAGTGTGTTTTGTATCCTGCCTCCTGCAAAAGGCCCTGCATCAGCCAGTACTCACAGGAGAGAGGTGAGTCCCATCTTCCCTCCCTGCTGCATGAAGCTGTAACAATGAAACCGTATCTGCTGTGCATC